AAAAGACATTCTCTTCACTTTTATTAGGAGTTTACGTGTTGTACTAGTAGCACTTGTTGGATTGTTCATAATCTGTTGATTAGATAAAAAGAATTACTTCAATTGGTGGAAAAATGACTAAGGTTAGGAGAAAAATGAAAAGAAAAGTAGATCTTAATATTCTTATATCAATGCTAAATATATAGGTATATTTAATTATATATATATTTTTATATAATACTCATAACCCAGAAATCAATCAATACTTCTAGCCAAGCTGAGACAAGTTTTTTAAAGTTGAAAACCATCACAAATAAGAAGAAAATGTTTATATTAATAAAAAGTCAAAGAAAAATCTACTCAGATTTCATTGCTTACTTCAAGCCAAGGCTTAAAGCAGGCTTCAAGAATCTTCTACCTTTCAGTAGCTTCCAGTGCAGTCACAAGCAAAAATCTGAACTTAAAACTGGCTTGTGTTGACTACCTGCTTAAAGGCCTTCATTTCATAATCTGTCATAAAAGAATTGCCTTGTTGAAACTCAACTTCTACTTGAGCTCGACTTCGACTTAAGTAAATCATAAATAAAAACAAGTATGAAAGCTCTAGTCGGCTTGCCCGACAAGGAGATACTCTGATGCCAGTCTCATCTGAAAATTTTCAATAGTTTGTATCGAGTATTTAAAAAATAAAGAAAACCCAACATTACAACACCAAAACTCGAACCAACATTGCCTACCAGTTCATAATTAAAAAAAAAAAAAAAAAACAAAAACAAATGAAAACATGCCTTCGCCTCCTGGGATCGAACCCATACCAACCAACACATACTACCAACACTGCAACTATTGTGGTATCTGACAATTCAAGCCCAGTTGAATCGCAATTCAGATCCTTCGATTAGAAAATAATGCACGCATTTGAACGTATTTGTGCACATGTATAGGAAAAATGCGTACGCTTGGCGCTGCTTGCCACGTGCTTTTGCCAATTGGCCAAACATTTTGTTCAATAACTTTTGTTTTACAGACAGACAGACAAATTGTCAAGGCTCAATCAACTCGGCTTGTCATACTGAACAAGAATTTATATACTTTAAGTTGTCTTCCACGCCTCCTTCTGCCTGTTGCATACATTTTAAGAGAACTATTATACCCTGATTTGCCTTTTTCAATGGGATCTGGGCATAATAATAATTACAAAGGCACATTCTTTGTCCGACAACTCGGGAATCGTAGCGTGAGCTTTTTGAAATTTAGCAGATGAAAGAAAAAATAACCGGTTTATCTTGTTCGAACTGAAATTGTTGTGATTTTTCCAGTAGTTGAGGCATTCTTATCGATGGGATGATGCTTCCTCATTAAAGCGAAGTTTTTTGATTTTCCTTGTGTAGAAAAGATTTTTTTTTGCCATTTGCACGTTGTGTACTTTGCTGATTTACAGTCAGCCAAGCGGTTGTATTTTAGCTAATTAGCTGTCAATTAGTACAGTCAAGTCTGGCGATCGGATCACAGAATAACTTTACTATGTATAAGAAACAGAACTGTTGAGTCTCTGTAAGATAAGCTTGAAAGATCAAAAACAACTAACAGAAATAATTAAATGTTTAGTTACGTGAACACTTCATAATAAAGCTTTTAATTTGGAAAAGTTATTTGGATGTTCGAAATTTCAATATAAAATATAAAAACTTAAATTTTATATTTATCAATCAAAAATTACTTTCAGATTTTAATTGATTTTGAAGAAAATTATATAAAATAGCGACAATTTATAGATAATTTCAGAAGCGAAATCTTCGAAATAAACTTCAAAGGTCGAAACTGAAATTTGCTGTTTATCGCTGTCACAGAAATTTGACGATAGTTTTCATAGTTTTCAGCAAACTTCAGCTGCCAGGTAATAAAGAATTTGATATTTTCTGTATTTTGTCGTAATATTTTTTTATTTATGTTTCTTGTAATTTAGTGAATGCACTGGGCGAAGGAGTCCGGCCCACTTCAGACTACGATGATCGCGAGCAAAATTAATTTTATAAAATATACGTTGTTTACTTTAACACCATTATCGGATGGCAATCTGTATTTACGCTGATTCCAGAAATAACCTGTTACCATGAGTGGTATATTTCAAGTGCTTAGATAGGCCCACAATTTAGCTCAGCTGCTTCAATTTTAACACCTTAAAATTGACTATGTGAAGAAACATATAATACAATGATCAATATAGAAACTGTTGACCTATGGTGAAGTTGGCTTAGAATAGGTGTGATCGACTAATAGATATACTATTCTTCAAAATAAAACTAAAGAAAATATCCAAAATTATTTCGATATTCAGTGAATATAGATCATGTTTCTATTGACTGATAAAAATCAAGAGATCAATGGTAATAGTGTATAAATTATGTAACATTACATTTTTTGATGAATTCGTAGACCCCATTGAAAAGTGATTGAAATATAAGTAAATATATCATACTAATGAATGGGATTTCTAATAAAGAGTTGCAGTGACGCAATTGAACAAATCAATACCGATAACATATCTATATAGAATATACATGTATATACATATATATATATATATATATATATATATATATATATATATATATATATATATATATATAGACATGTGTGCCAGTTCATATCGATCTTACTTTGTGCACACTGCTGACGAGAAAGGCAACTGACTGAACAGATTTCTGATTATTATCTGGGTTACGAGTGCTATTGCTATAGTCTTATGTCGTACTGCCTATCTTATCTCAAAGCAGAATGTGACTACGCAACAATGCGACGGCAATTAACTTTTATATAACTCAAATAACGGCATATGACAAAAATTACGAGTGCCCTACACCAAATCCTTATCATCAGAGACATCTGCTCGACGCAAGACGGACTGAAAGAAGGGGAGACGAGAAGAGGAAAAGGGGACAAAGAAGGGCGAAAGGAGAAGGAAACAGAGGGAGGCGGAGAGCGGAGAGCGGAGAGCGGAGAGCGAGAGCGGAGAGCGGAGAGCTGAGAGCGGAGAGCGGAGAGCGGAGAGCGGAGAGCGGAGAGCGGAGAGCGGAGAGGGAGAAGCGGAGAGCGGAGAGCGGAGAGCGGAGAGCGGAGAGCGGACGGAGAGCGGAGAGCGTAGAGCGGAGAGCGGAGAGCGGAGCGGATAGCGGAGAGCGGAGAGCGGAGAGCGGAGAGCGGAGAGCGGAGAGCGGAGAGCGGATAGCGGAGAGCGGAGAGCGGAGAGCGGAGAGCGGAGAGCGAGAGGAGCGGAGGCGGAGAGCGGAGAGCGGAGAGCGGAGAGCGGAGAGCGGAGAGCGGAGAGCGGAGAGCGGAGAGCGGAGAGGGAGCGGAGAGCGGAGAGCGGAGAGCGGAGAGCGGAGAGCGGAGAGCGGAGAGCGGAGAGCGGAGAGCGGAGAGCGGAGAGCGGAGAGCGGAGAGCGGAGAGGAGAGCGGAGAGCGGAGAGCGGAGAGCGGAGAGCGGAGAGCGGAGAGCGGAGAGCGGAGAGCGGAGAGCGGAGAGCGGAGAGCGGAGAGCGGAGAGCGGAGAGCGGAGAGCGGAGAGCGGAGAGCGGAGAGCGGAGAGCGGAGAGCGGAGAGCGGAGAGCGGAGAGCGGAGAGCGGAGAGCGGAGAGCGGAGAGCGGAGAGCGGAGAGCGGAGAGCGGAGAGCGGAGAGCGGAGAGCGGAGAGCGGAGAGCGGAGAGCTTAGAGCGGAGAGCGAGAGAGCGGAGAGCGGAGAGCGGAGAGCTTATATAGCGGATAGCTTAGAGTATATCTTATATCTTATATCGGATATCTTATATCTTATATCTTATATCTTATATCTTATATCTATCTTATATCTTATATCTTATATCTTATATCTTATATCTATATCTTATATCTTATATCTTATATCTTATATCTTATCTATATCTTGTATCATCCATACATTCATACATTCAGACATTCATACATCATATGTGAAAGACTTTGAATTTGTTTTATTATTTTTGTATCGCTCATTTTTATTGAGAACAGTTTGAAAATGAATTTGTTTTTATATAGCCAAAGCAGATGTTTTGCTTGTTTTTATTGTTTTTTTGTTGCTTTTGTATTTGTAAAACATTAACTTAAAAACTAAACGCTGCAAAATTGTTGTTGCTGTTGTTCCATTTCTTCTTCTTCGTCTTTATTTTGATTGTTATCAATTTTCATTTCGACCAACTTGAGAGTGTGTGTGTGTTTGTGTAGTTTAGCATTATATTGGACCACATACAGATACATATGCCTATATATACATATAAATATACGTATATATATGTTTATGTGTGTGTATATATGTATGTATATATATAGATTGTAAATATGTAAAAGTATGCAAAAACTTTATAAATAGTTTGCCGTGTATAAAAGATTGTTTTAATTTTCTTGTATATTAGATTGTTTTGTTGTATTTATTTATTTTTATAAATTGGAAAAATCTTTTGTAATCAAAATTGTTGTATTTGGCTTCGAAATTTTGGTCAGCTGCAGCTTTTAGTTCCTTCTTCTTGTCTTGGTCAAAATTGTTGTAAAATTGAATAAATATATAAATTTTTGTTTTACATTTTATTTGTGAGGCTACTAAAAAAATGTTGCTGGCTCTTTAAATTTGTTACTTTTATTTTTTATTTTTCTTTTGTTTTGATGGCAGTTTTAAATTGTAATTTAAAATTAGCAATAATAACATGTAAATTTGTCTCGTTTTTGTATTTTTTTTGTCTTTATTTTTGTTTTTGTTGTTGTTTTTGGAACAGCTCTAAATGAGATTCGTACTTGGCTAGCGTTGGAAAAGTTTTAGGCTTTTCTTCTCATTTTCATTTGACCAAAACGGCTTTTTAGCATTCAGCATTATAATTAATTTTAAAAATTATCATAATTTCAATTAGATTTTAGGTTTTATATATATTATATTATATGTATATGTATATAATGCAAAAATCGCTCGTAATTTAAAGAAATCTTCTTAGGCGGTAGACTAAATTGTTGCTAAAGGTTTTTTGTTTTTGTTTGCTTTATATATTTATGTTGTATAAGAAGAAGCTACATTCAAAAATTGTCTTGTATCCAAAAATGTTTGCTGTTATTTTTAACTCTGTTTAACTTTCTTTTTCATTTCGGTGTAATTTGTTTTTTTTTTTGTTTTTGTATAATATATGTTATATTATTTCTTAGGAAAAAACTTCGTTTTGGTGTTCTTTTTTCTGTTTTTGTTGTTGTTGTTGTTGTCTTTCCTTCTACATTAGACAAACGAGCGTCTATTAGTTGCCATATATATATATTATATATAGTGTATCGAGCCAATTAATCAATCAATAGCTCGTAGTGCACCGATCCAATTCTGTCCTTGCGATCATGCTTTATGTTGCGTGCCCAGGCTTTGCACTCCACATTGATGATAATTCCGCCTGGTCGAAGTCGAGTAGATATTAAGATATAGATACATATATATATATATATATATATAGTTTACTTACTCTTGGGACGCTCAAAGTGAACTGCGACAAGTGGGCTCAGATAGCCCTCAGAGTTTTGATAGGGATAGAAATAACCGGGAAAGCCGCGTATCGGATAGTATTTGACGACGCCAATATTCTCCTGATCGGCAGGGTTCTCGCCCTCGCAGGAAACCCAAATCGTGTTTAGCTAAATTTGCATATAAAAGATATTTATTTAATATAATTTTTGAAATATTTATAATGCTATTACTTAATTATTATTATTGCTATGCAAGAGATGATCATAAATATCAATCAATTATTATATCAATCAATTAATAATTTGTAATTTGTGTTCTTCATTCTCCTTTCTAATATAGAATTCAATTCTGATTCCTACCTTGATCGGATCGGTCTTCTCTAATTCAGATATATAGGTCTTCAGAGTGCTGGGCATCTCTTTGGGCAAGTTCTGCGAGCTGTTGTAGAACTCGGGCCTCCAGTCGTAGATCTTGTTCAGCTTGAGGAAAATGCATGGCGAACTCTTGTGGTAACTGTAGTTGTTCTCCTTGGTGCAGGGTGCCCAGGTCTTGATGTCCACATCGCACACCTGACCTCTCGGTGGGGGCTGGTTGTAGTCGCAGTTGTAGATGTTCTGACCACGTCCCGGTGTCAAGCCGGGCACCTTGTACACTGAGCGAAAAATAGAAAGTATCAAGTGAGCATAGGAATTTACAAAGTGATAAATTATCGAAATATGAGAAAGAAATTATTATAATAGGAAACCGTTTCATGATATCTTAAAAAAATTGTTACACCTCATTAAAGTTTGCCTTTAATCTTAAGACTTAGTTCTTGATCTAACAGCCTCTATAACCGAACCGTTTGGTGTGAATTTTTATCGCTCATCTTTAATCTTTGGATCTTAACTTCTTAACTGACCTTAGATATTGCCTAATTTTAGATAGTTAGGGATATGGTAGACATAATACCATATCCCTGACCTAAGTGTATGCCATCATCTAGCTATTTGTTCGATATGTTCTTAGCATAGTAACGACCCCAATTTCTATACCACAAACTAAGGAAAACCCCTAAGCATAAACCATGTGCTTGTTGTCTCGGTAAAAAGTCGATATTCTTTTTATTTTTTTATTTTTTTATTTTAATTAAAATAAATGCTAAACAAGTTGCGTGTTGTCAACCACCTCATTCAAAAGTACCCTAGCAACAGCAATAAGAAAGCAGTTCATGGCCATTTGTAACATTAACTGGCAACATGCGAGACCTATTTAACAACGTATAGAGCCTTACCTGCCAGGAATTCATCAAGAGAGTCCGTCCAATGTTTATAGTTCTCAGGCAGAGTGCCCTTGTACCAGATCAAAGTGCTCTCCACGTTGTCAACGGGCGGCAGTGGACGAAAGCCGAGACCTGATTAAAATAGTCAAATATATCAGATAAATGATATATATATATATATATACATATATGTATTGCACTTACCTGGATTTGTGCCAATAATGGAGCTCTCCAATTTCCATTTGGGTATGCGTGGGTCCAGAGTTAGAAAGAAGGCCCACATGCATATGGCCACCAATGCGGCGAGCACGCCATAGAAAATTATATAGAATATGCCGATCTTAGCTATATGATAACGAGAAAAAGAGAGTGAGATACATAATTAGTTAATCATATTAAAGCAAATCGAATTAGAGTCATATAAAAATTAAATTAAAGATTGATTCATAAAGACACAAGAAATGTCGCCCCTTCAATTGAGCTGATTAAATTAGGCACTTAACAACGCGCGACTCAACTGAACCAAAAGGCGACAATGGGTTAGACTCTTAATTGATAAAGCGCGGAGTCTGAGCGCCAACTCTTTAAACTGAGCAATTCGTAACAAGTGATCGGTATAAGAACGCACTGCTGCTGGCAGCACTTAACCAGAGACTGCCTCAGCGCTGTGAATCATAAACAATATAAGATCCAAGTCCAAGTATAAGACACGTAAGCGAAGATTTCAAGAGCGCGTAATCGATTGGGCAAGTGCCGAGAGCTCTCTCTGTCTCTCTCTTCACTGATCTTGCGCTCACGCACACATTGATACGGCGCGTCGTGCACATAACCTCAAATTGACCAATATCTTAGCTCAGAGGGAGAGACTGGAAGTGGCTGTGAGAGTGAAGTTGTGTTTGGCATTGAGTGAGATTGTATAAGAGTAGAAGAGGTAAGTTGTTTGTGGAAAGAGAGGCTTAAGTTTGTTTTGAGTAGATAAATATATATATAAAAATAAAGTAAAAAAATAAAAATAAATTGTAATTATTATTAAATATATTTTTAAAATAATAAATAAATAACTTATAAGTAAACAAATGATATATTCTATATTATAATATAAATAAAGTATATATATAAAACAAAAATTATATACATATATTAAATAATTAAAAAGAATTATTCCAAGTAAAGTATATGTAAAAAGAAAAATTGTAGCTTTTTAAACTAAATTAAATTAAAATGTGTTCAATTGAAAATGGATCAATTATGTATAAAAGTAAGCTAAATAATAAATAATATAAATATAAATTTAATATAATATAATTTGTTACATAACCATTTCTATTATATAATAATATCATATGTATGTAAGACATAATGCCAATATTATATATCTTTAAACTATTAAACTATAATTTTAATCCACAATAAGCATTTAATTATTTTGTAATGCATTTTGACTTGATTAAAGAAAGCATTTCCCTTATAACATTCAGTAATTCATAGACTTAATATGCACATGCACACATATGATTTATATGATATCATCTATCTGTTACGTCATAATTTTACTGCCTTTTCTACATCCTTTCTCATGCAATTTTCACACTGTTTGCTGAAATTTGACATTTGAAGCTGCTAATTTGGTTATTGGCCTGAGAATTATGTTTGATGGTTATCTCAGCCGGATTTGTCAGTCAGACATTTACCGTCATGTTATTTTAGCACCTGTCCAATGAATATGTAACACAACTATGCTACATCTAACATGTTGAAAGTATGTCAGAGCTGGCGCCAGGTGGCAACGCCGACAAGGCAGGTGTAAAATTAACGACATATAATTACAATTTTTTGCAATCATAAAAAATGTAAGGAAAGAAAAAATAACTTTATTTTTCGCGTGTACCATAAACTAGCCGAATGATTTATTCATGGGGTATACCTATTTAAATAGGTATTTTACTAGCTGAAAGTCACGTCCTGTCATAGATTTAAAGTGATCATATATTTAAGTTAATAAGTAATCTAAGAAATCAATTAATTAATCAGCTGGAAGTTCCATTCATTTCCAATTCGATGAATATATATCTGTATATATATATAAAGCTCCCGCATTACTTACCCCATGAGGCGCGATCTCTGCCCATAACCGTGCCCTTTTCGGAATTATATAGAAATTTTCCGAAATGGAACGGTTCGGGCTTACGTAGATTTTGCATGTCATCGTACGTCTCCGAATGTGGCATTGGAACGGGTTTCGACATTTTGGTGGGTTTTTAAATTTATTTGTGATTTTTTTAACTTTTAAATTTATTGTTACTTCAAAAATGAAGTAAAGTTACGTCAATAAATAATTAAATATAAATATATAGCAAGTTTTTAAGTTAATGAACTATAAATTACGTTGAACCTGGAGAATTTTTCCAATTTTAGAATTATTGGAATTATTATAGAATTGCTTAATATTTGTATAAGTTAGAAAGGCACTCTCTTTATTTATATTTCTATTTATTGTTAATATTTGTTTTTATTTCAATTATTTTTATTTCTTTACTGTATATATATATTTTTATTAAATTTAATTAATTAAAATATTTAAAAACCATAATTATTTATTAATTTTTAACAGATATTTTTTAGTTTATATATTTTTTTAATTTCGTATTTATACTCTATATAGATATATATATTTTTTTAGATTTTAGTAATTATTTTGATGTTTTTGCATGATTAAATTTCGTTTAAAAATTTTGTATTCTTATTGATTTATTTTTTATGATTTTCACACAGATTTTCTAGTTAGTTTTCCGCTGTTTGTATACACACATTTTGATGATTTACTCATAACCTTTTTTTCGGCTCTTTTTCACATACTTTACAACTTTTCTACACTTATTCGCATTTTTCCACACGCTCTCTCGGTCTCCCCACTCTCTTGCTCTCGCTCTCGCTCTCTGTTTTGTTTTGCTTCCCCATTAAGTTCTGTACACTCGTTCCCGAAACTTTCGGCAGCAGCAGCAACAACAACAAATGCAAACTTTGGCGCCTTTTTGTCCTGGCCATAATATCTACCCCTGAATATTCGTGTCAGCCCTTAGCACATTTTCCAATGCGAGTTCAAAAGCCGCAGCGCCGCTTGGCTGTCGGCAGCTACCTACGCGTATCTGTCAGATACAACTGCCAAGTATCTTCTAGCTTGGCCTTAACTGAGTGCAACAGATAAACCAGAGACAGAGAGTGGGAGAGGGAGAGGGAGAGAGGGGAAGGGAGGTAAGCAGGCCTAAAAGAAGAAAAACTAAAGGCCGTCTGACTGTCTGACTGTCTGGTTGACTGACTGTCGCCTGCCGTGTCGCGTATTATGTATCTTCTTTGCTTTCCAATGACGCCTAGGCCTTGACCATCAGATACATTTGTATCTTTATTCTTTTTGCCCATATTGCTTGGTGTTTATGTTATTTTGCCTATGCATAATTGCTTTTAATGCAAAACAAAATGCGACTCGCACACCAACTCACAGATACACACACACACATGTGCTTGTATTTGAATTTTGTATCTCTTAGCTGTTGTCTTGAGTTTGAGTTTTTTGAGTGGTTTCGCTCTTAAAGCCGTCGACACAACCACACCTTATTGTAGCAGCTACTTTAATAACTGCGTTAAATGCGTGCCTATGACTCTGTGTATGTGTGTGTGCGTGTGTGTGTTGGTGTGTGTGCCTTTTGGGCGTGACAAAACGAGCTGCAGCTGAATGAAACATATTCTTAAAAATAGAAGTAATTTTCAATTAGAGTCAGAAAAAGAGCGAAACACAACAATAACAAACTTCAAACACACACACTCACACACTCGCACACTCGTGCACACAGCCATTTGTACAACACCTTCTTTCCAGGCAGTTGAAGACAACACAACACAAATATCGTACACGTTTTATGACACGCACACAACCAGGCTCAGAATGCAGCTCGAAGCAATGCTTCGACTTCTTCTCAGCTTCCGCTGAGATTATTTACTTTTCGTTTTATTTATATATTTTATTTATTTTATATTTTATAAGTTTCCCCGCTTGGCTTTCGACCGGTGCCCGCTAACGGAACGTTTCGTCGACGCTCAAAACAAATTCCAGACTGAAAACTGAAACTGAAGTCTGGCCATAGAGCAGCCCGCCAAACAGCTCAGCGCACAGACTTGGCTTGGCCTCTGAGTTCCGTTTGTTCGCGTCGAGTTGAGTTAAGTTCGTTGCGGCTGGAACGCAACAGACAGCGCCTCTGCCGCGCGCTCTTCCGTTCTCTCTCTCACCACTCGCTCTCCGCGCTCTCTTGAGTCGAATCTGCTTCGCTTTCGTTGAGTTTGTTTTGAGTGCAAAACGTTTTTTTGGCGGCATTTACATTTTCGAGTGTGTTTTGGGTTTGGGCCGTGCCCAGCCTTGTAATTGATGTTGCATGGTTGTTGTTGTTGCTGCTGCTGCTGCGGTTGTTGTTGTCGTTGCAGTTGTTTTAATTAGGCGCATGCAACGTAAATTATGGTTGTTTAGCCGCTGCAGATGCCGTTGTACATTTTGCGCAAATTGTCGAGCGCCGAGTGAGTGCTACACTGAGCGAAATTAAAATATTGCTTACGCTCATCGAGCTCCATTTAAGAATTGTGCTACTTGGGTATGATTCATAGGGAGCTAGGCATGATTCATCAGCTGCAACAGCTTTGCATTAGCATTTCCAATTTATTTATTAAATGTGGTTTTCCATTTCATCGAAATGAAAGTTCCCAGTGTGTGTGTGTGAACAAACTTCACTAAATTCTTTCGAGTGTAAACAAATAATTGACTCAGTTTCTTAGCAAGGAATTTCATATTAGCGTGTATAAGATGCCAGTTTCTTAGTATAAGAGTGGACTGTGCTAAGCTATATACCTATATATACTATACTATCGATTTGCACTGTCTAATTTCTTACAGTGCATATGCATATATTTTATGCACTTAAATGCTGTCGTTTCGTGTCCAAGTTCTAAATACATTAGTCAAATGCAAATGCACCGTTAACTGCAGCCTGCAGTAGTCGCATTGTTTACAATTATTGTTGTTGCAGTAGCAGCAGCAGCAGCAGCTGTTGCATGCCTTGTGGCCCTGATGCCAATTTGCAGAGCCCCTCATCAAATGCACTCAAATCAATTGAGTGCTTTAATCTTAACTCTTATACGCACACTCTTATACACACACAAGCACTTGCGCTGTCTGTCTCTCTCACTATTGTTGTTGTTGGCTAATAACCGTTAACATTGCATGATCGCTGCTTACACTTGTATTTATACAGTGAGGGCAGCCCTAACAGCATCATCTTTCATGCTATTAGCTTAATACTTAATGGGAAGGAACTTTCAAGGTATAAGAGACAAGCAATGTCCTTGGCTAGACCAATCACAGCTGGAGTCTGACAAGGTTGTACCCAACATTTTACACTTTGTTTATGGGAACAGCCAATGGAACCCTTATAGAGACCTATGCAGATGACATCGCCATCCTATCGCTTGGATGGATTTTAAGATATAAATACTGTCGGTCGGGCTCACTCACTAGTTAAGGTTTAGAGCTAAAGGCAGTATAGAGTTAGAGTTCATAAAAAACTTTACTTATACTAGCAAGGGTTTTGAGTATCGTTGAGTCAGTTTGAAGCGACTCGGAAGAGAGAGAGAGAGAGAGCGGGAGAGGGAGATACCGAATGAGTGACCGCATTAACCAGTTTGCCTAAAACTCCATTCAGCTCTGTTGCTTTCCAGTGCCGCTTGCCGCTTGCCGCTTACCACTTGCCACTAGGGGTTGTTGGCACTTGGCTAAGGGTTGTTTTTCTCGTAAAATGCGGCTTTTACTACGCATTGACTCCTTTTTTTTTGTTGTATTTTGTATTTTTTTTTTTGCAAAGGCGGCAAATATTTGCGTATGGTATATGAGTGGGGCTATGGCAGGAAGACAAAAATGAGGTTGAGTGCGTAAGAGTGTGTGTGTGCGTGTGCGTGTGGAATGTGTGACAAGCTCCAGATTTGAATATTCCCATACATGCTATAAATTGTTGTTTTTCTGCTCTATTTTTATAAAATATTTAAGAGCTCGCGTCGAGGCTAGGAGCAGAATGACGTGTTCCAATTAGCAAGTACTCAAACCACAATATCGTGTACATGCCGGCTCTACTTAGCGAGGACACAGCGACAGCGGGAGAGACAGAGAGTGAGAGAGAGAGCGAGTGGAATGGTTGGGGTGGTAGGTTGTACCGACTATTGTCTGCTGTATTGAATAGGGGATTCGCTGTTGGCTCTGACTGACAGCCATCCATTTGGCATAATGGATAGCGTTTCCCTGAGTGACACCCAAGTGGCCTATGGCTCAGGGCCCACTGCCCATGGCTAAAACACTAAACGTTTTCCTTGAATGGAGAAAACAGCTTTTTGCATTGTTGCAGCCTGTTGCTATAATGTGTCCAAGCTGTCCATCAGATATCTGAGCTACAAACAATGCGATTCTATTTCACAATCTCTTAATGCACTTGATTCAACATACATCGAAGTAATTGTTTAATATTTCAATAGATACTATTTATACACATTTATGGATGGCTTGTAACTGTAGCCCATGCATAAGTTAAGCAGCTTATAAGAAGAATGTGGAATGTATCTTAAAGATAACTCTATTTGTCTAGCATAGCTGCAATACTTCGACTCGAGTTTTTGATTCAAATTTATTTATAATAATTTAAAATTAAATTTTAAATTTTAAATTAAAATTATTATTTGTATCTTTGGTAATATTATTAACAATTAAAGAGCACAGACTCCATGGACTTCTTTGCTTAATTCTAAGCATTTCGATTGGGTATCCAGGGAAAATATTTGTGGATAACAAAAAATTATCTTGCAAAATCTATTCATCATATAGGATTTTCAATTTTAATAATTTAATAATAATAATAATATTTAGAATTCAATATTAAATATTCTTCACAACATATATGGAAAAACATATAATAATTTAATGTAAAAATAATAAAAAAAAATAAATAAAAGTAAAAGCAGAAGTATATTTTAATTATTGATTGATTGGCTGATTATAAAAATAATCGAGGTTTACTACTGTTATATATGATATTTCTAGCTCCTAATTAAAATTCTTTTTTACTGTTTTATTCTCCTAGACTATTTTGCTTATTTCTAACAATTTATTTTAACTTTAAAATATATTGACTAATGGAAGATGAAATTATGTACTTTAAAATTTAATTAATTATATAATATTATTTAATATTATTAATTTATATTATTATTCAATTTAAAATGCACACATTTTTTGAGTACTAAAAATTTTATATTTATAAAGAAAAATTAAATAATTTAATTTAGAATTTTGTTTTATTTTATTTTGAAATTAAATTATTTTCTCATTTATTTGCTCAAGTTTATTTATTCAATTTTTATTTATTTCTTTTTTGCTTTAATTTTTTTGCAATTGCATTATTAATTTTGCCCTAATTGTTATTTGATTTAAATTGAGATTTAATTTTGCGCAAATGTAATTTTAAATTTGTAGTCAATGTCATCAGCAAAAAAACCGAATTTTTCCTATGCCTCAGCTATGAGTTGCTGCGGCTGCTGCTGTGGCAGTTCCATGGTGCATGCTGTGATTGCATAATGACATAATTGACCGGCATATTGGTCGAGTGTACCCTATGTTACACACAGACACACATGTATGTGTGTGTGTCCGCCAAAGGTCAAAGAGAACAAACACAGATGAGAGCAGAAGTGAAAAGTGCCAAAGCAATAAAACGAGCCGCAGTCACTGCCTGCGATACTCATACTAAAAGCATAATACACACACACATACACACACATATACGTATGTGTGTGTCGCGCTAATGCGGCGACAAAAGACTTTGATTAAATCCACAACTGGCACAGCTTGACATTTATCAAGATTTACGCGCAGCGCGCTTTACGTAACTGCAAAAATCCAGAAAAATTCTGGAGCACTGCAGGACGAGTGCACTTACCCCAGCTCTCGATAGTCCTGCCGAAATACGAGCTATCCTCGTCGTCGTAGATCATCTGCTTGAAGGACTTATTCTTGGGCATCTCCGGCGGCCGCGAGTAATACTGTTGAAAGCCCATCGATGCAGTCCTCGGTTATAGTTGGCATTTTCCTGCGCTTTGCCACGACGGAATATCCTTATCGCGTCTGAGTGCGTGATGATTTGTATATCCTATATATATAGCTGTGTGTATATATGTATATATATATATTCCTTTGGCTGTTGCTCTCGGCTGGGGCACGCGCTCGCACGGCAACTGATCGACACTTCCCGTTCTAGAAATTGAACTCACTGAGTCGACAGCTCGTGCCATAAGCCAATCCAATCCAATCCAAGTCCAAAAAACTCGCAGAGCTGCGTCGTCGACGTCTGCGTTTCAAGTCGCAGGCGTTGATCATCATCAGCATATCATCATCATCATAATCATCGCCATCGCCATGATCATTATTATCCCAAAGCACGATCATCGTGTTGCTCACTGAATAAAGTATATTCTTGTCTCTCGCTTTGACACACTGGCTGCAGGGCGCGGGGACGTTTCGACAGCGCAGACAGATTTTCTTCTGCTGGCGTCGACGTTGGCGTCGCCGTTGCCGTTGATGTTGGCGTCGCTGCCAACTTCTCATATGCAAATTGTGCGACGTGTTGAAAAGCAACAACAGCAACAGCAACAGCAACAACAGTGTCGGTCTTAATCAAGATACATTCAGATTTACATTTGCATTTAGATCATTCACAGTTTTCAGTGATATAATATACATATATATAATGATATATATATATACATATATATATATATATATAAGAGAAGATTTAAATTACACTTTTTAAGCATATATTCATAATATTAAATTATCAAATATATTTCCCAATCGCGATCAGTCGTTCGACCTGTAAAGACGTGAATTCGAACAGCCTTCGCTTAAGCTCTACTGCTGCAGAGTTCTAAAAATAGAACTTTGCGGTGCATTCTTCAACGCAACAGCAACAAAAACCGCACACGCAGCGTTTTCTTATCGCTTGCTTCCGCGTAACTCAATTGCTTTAATTGCAATTTACGAAATTTCGTCGCTTGGCGCGAGTGCGCCTGCACTCAAAAGCACAATCCGCGATGACATCTAATGTCAATAACCTCGCTACAGCTTGTAAAGGTAAATGCAGAAATGCAAGCCCAGCTTAACGTTTGTGATGGCAATAGGCAAGCCTCCATCATGCCAATAAACTCAAAAATAGATATCGCCTCCGTGCAAGGCATCACTAACAACAAAAACACGAAACGTAAACAGCCAAATTCACCAAAAACCATCAAGAAAAGGCTCATCTTCGACGAACCAAGCACCAGCAATGCAGCATTAATATCAGAAAAATCGATTTTCACTGCTCGTAGAAGAAGATGAAGACTACAGCGAATCACCTGTAGCTCCAGAAGCCCCAGTATTGACCGACCAGCAAACTACTCCGAAACCTCGTCCGCCCCCCATATGGTGTCCAAACATCAAGTCTGTGGCCCTACTTCAAACAGATAATAGATAAAGTAATTGATGCTAAATCATACGTAATTAAGCCAAAGAAGAATAACATAGGTGTATTAACCCAATGCAGTGAGGACTATCGCAGAGTTATAGACCACTTTACTAAGCTGGAATTGGAGTTCCACTGCTACCGCTTAAGGAGGACAAACCATATAGAGTCGTGTTCAAAGGGCTTCACTCCAGCACTGATACAACACTAATTAAAAAGGAATTGGAAACCAAAGGCCACACAATTACAAATGTGCACAACCCACTGAGCCGTATGGACAAAACACCGCTAAATATATTTTTTGTTTGACGTGGCTCAGGCCCCCAACAACAAAGAAATTTTGGAATTCGAGGTGTCTGCAGGCAACGCTGCCACAGTGGAACTGCCAAGAAGATACAACGACCTGACACAATGCCATCGCTGTCAAGAATTTGGACACACACAACGCTACTGGCCACAAAGCTCCCAGATGTGTGCGTTGCGCCGGGAAACACGCATCCAAAGACTGCACCCGCGAAAAGGACCAGGCACCAACTTGTGTGCACTGTGAGTTACAGCACCCAGCCAACTATAAGGGCTGCCAAGTATACAAGCGGTTTGCGCAAATTGCAATCCCCAGCACAAAAAAGGAGTCCCACACAAACACCGTCTACGGGTCCGAGTACTGCTTCCGAAATTACAAGGCCCCGGAGCATTACCCAAGCCACGAGCTTTGCAACGCCCCTATTAGTGGTGTTTCTTACGCACAGGCCGCTAGAGGTGGACCGTCAAATAAGAATACCACCAAGTGACACTTTGTTCACTGAAATGCTTCAGCAACAACCAACGTCAGTTTGACGCAATTAATGCCGAGCTCAAAGCGATGCGAGAAGTACAATCCCAACAAGCAACCATGCTAAACAGTTAATGCCATCATAACCAAGCTTGCCTACAAATAATGGCTTTACGTGTGGGTATCTGGAACGCCAATGGCCTGAGAAACAAGACTCAGGAACTGGCTGCGTTTCTCTCACAAGAAAACATAGATATAATGTTAATAACAGAAACTCATGAGTGCCCCACTACACAAATTTTCGGATACGAACACTATCAGGCTCATGGTGAAGGAGCAAACTGCTTTGGTGGATCCTCATCCTCATACGAGCACAATACCGCATACACCTTTACTGCCAATATTTTGCCAACCGCAAACAATGCAGGTCTCACCAGCCATCACCTGCCTACGTCTATTGGAGCGATCGAAGTTGCGTCAATTTATCTTCCGCCAAACACTGGTCTGTGTGATCATTCACATGGAACAGGTTCTAGGCCAAAGGTTGAATAGACCCTCATCGGCGGCGACTGGAATGGATGGCAACCCATTTTGGGGAAGCAATAGTGCGAATCGTCGCGGAGAAGTCATATTTGAGGCGATTCAAAACTTACAATTCAGCATATGGCGACTGGAGCCCCCACCCGTTACCCAATTAATGGGACACAGGCCCTCGGCAAATCGACTTCGCTGTCTACAAAGGCATCTGTGACCGGCAATTGACCATGAAGAATCCTTGGACCTATCCTCTGACCACCTGCCACTAATAGTCACAATCCACGCGCAGCCACAGCCCTTGCCCATTAGGAAACAACTACTGCCAGCAGGATCAGATTTAGGAGTCTTTAGGCGCGAGCTCCATTACTCTTTGCACATAGAAATGGAACTTAACACTCCTGAAGACGTGGACTACGCAGCAAACAAACTGCAGGAAGAGAATAGTCAAAGCTGCGCACCAAGCCGCCCCACCATCTTGCCAAACAAGACAACAAGTCTCCGTACAACATCCCCCTCACCTTGGAGGCCCAACACCTACTAATACACAAAAGATGGGCCAGGAGACGCTGGTTAAGATTACGCACGCCTGATGCCAAATCCATGTACAACGAAGCCACGAGGCATCTTAAAGCTGCTCTCGCCCTGCTTCAAAAGAGGTGTATCAGCGATGCGCTGGTACGAGCTGAATCGCCCCACTGACGCAGAGTTTCAATTATGGAAATTTACAAGAAAGCTCAAACGGCAGCAATACGGACGTCATCCCATTCGGAGCATTTCTGGTTCCTGGCACATTGGAGACGAAGCTCAAGCTGAGGCTTTTGCAAACCACCTTCAAGACCAATTCACGCCGGTGATTACCGCAGAGGCCTCAGAAATCGAAGCAACAGAAGACATCGTTCTCTCGCCCCTCCCAGCTGAAGACCAAGATAACGGGATGTACAAAAGAAGAGGTTCTTGAACACATCAGAAGAGTGAAGGCAAAAAAATACCCTGGATATGATCTAATAAACGGCAGAGTCCTTAGAGCACTGCCTGACTCCACCATAGACTAAATAACTATGGTGTACAACGCCATGCTCCGCATCCGGCACTTTCCAGCCTGCTGGAAGCGCGCCGTGATTGTGATGATTCCTAAGCCTGGCAAACCCGTGGGAGAAATTGAGTCGTACAGACCAATTAGCCTGTTGCCAGTACTCTCCAAAATATTCGAAAGAATATTTCTGGAACGAGTACTGACACATCTGGGACGCCAGGAGGCCATTCCAAACCATCAGTTTGGCTTCAGGAGACAGCATGGAACACCGGAACAGGTTCACAGAGTTGTGCACCATATCCTTGGAGCCTTTGAAGAAAAGATGTACTGCTCTGCCGTCTTTTTAGACATCAAACAGGCGTTTGATCGAGTTTGGCACCTGGGACTGCTGCAGAAAGTGAGGACCACCCTTCCAGCCCCATTTTTCGCGTTGCTATCCTCATACCTTATTGGAAGAACCTTCCAAGTGTCAAGGGGGCAAACAGTATCCTTGACTAGACCAATTATGGCTGGAGTACCACAGGGTAGTGTTCTAGGCCCAACACTTTATACTTTATTCACAGGAGATATGCCAACTCCCGAGCCAAATATAGGAAGTACAGATGCAGTACTCATAGCGACCTATGCAGATGACACCGCCATCTTATCACGTCACGTATCTGCGCAAGAAGCTTCAGACTCACTACAAAAATATCTGGACTCTTTCGGACGCTGGGCAAAACGGTGGTGTATCACCATTAATGCACAAAAGTCTGTACATACTACCTTCGCCACTAGAAGAGGAGATTGCCCAAGCGTTGCATTGGGGCCCACTATTCCCAAAGCCTCAAAAGTAAAGTACCTTGGTATCACTCTTGACAGAAGGCTGACTTTTAAAGCGCACATAAGTCAAGTAACCTCAAAATGCAAAAGCCAGCTAAAAACCCTCGACTGGATGCTGAGAGCTTCAAGCAAGTTGTCTTACAGCAGCAAGGCCGCCATCTACAAGGCAATAGTTGTCCCAAACTTCGTATATGGTATCTCTCTATGGGGCTCCTCGGCGAAGACTACAAGGAACAAAATTCAGACCCTGCAGAATAAAGCACTACGCAGATGGACTGGAGCCAGCTGGTTTGTAAGAAACTCAGTCTTACATAGGGATTTAGCAATTCCCACAGTTGCTGAACTCATTGGGCGACACAGTTCAAGATACGCGGACAGACTTGCAGCGCATCCTAACCATCTCGCAAGCAACCTGGCTATAAACAACAATAGGCGAAGACTGAAGAGATTGCATCCTCTAGACAATATTAGAACTAATTAAGATAGTAGCTACAAGTGCAGAATAATTGGCATATCTGCCCTCCCATTAGTTAAGGTTTAGAGCTAAATGCGCTATAGAGTCTAAGACAATAAGCTGCAACAAAATAAGAAATAAA